TTGACTGTCCAGCGTAGACTGAATGCCTATAATTTCTATTTTGCCAGTCTAGCGGGTCCTTGGTGGCATCGGATTCAGATGCGCTGGACACAGAAATTGCATGGTTGATACAATTTGAACTCGTAAGTTAGCCCTGGTGCGGTTCGAATTTCTACTCGTCTAGGAGACAAAAAATCACGTCAGTTATCGTCTCAAGCAGCAGGATGCTCGAACCAATACTCATGGGCTTATGTAGGCATAGCACGAACTAGGAACTGCGTTCGCTTAAGATATAAAGAACTATATGGCTCCGTATAAAAGAATACGTTACCTTGCTTTTCAGAAATCCGTTTTGAGGGAACAACTCATGGTTTTCCTCCTCACTGTCCGATTCCTCCGGCAACGGCCTCTTGCTCCCACTTTTACCAGGCGTACTCTTCAAGGCCAAAGTTTTCGGAGTAGTATTTAATTGCGATTTCTTCACAGCAGGCGAAGCTAAACGGGTGGACAAACGGATGTAGTTGAATAACATCCACAACAACTATGCCTTGTAAGTAAACCAAGGAACAGAACTTACGTGTCGACTTTGACCGTCCCTAAAACCGAAAGAAACGTCATCATCAATTCTATATCAAGTATAATGGCTGAGAACCACGAAATAACACCGCTAGGCTTACCATGTTTCCGAAGCTGAGTGGGCGAGATGTAACGGACTGGACCCGGCGTGCACCGGCAAACAACAATCACACTGAATGATTCAAACAAAACGGTTCGTTTGTTGCATTGCAAAGTCATATTTGCAATTATGAAAAGTATGAAACAGTTACTTAAGCCAAATTTGGTGATGCCGAACAAAACATTAGTTTCTTTAATTATGCGTCACTACCGCTGCGCGGCTCATTTGGAATTTGTGCGCCACAAGTAGCCAATCTGCGCCTTGAAGGTGCAATGCGTTGTCTACAGAACGTTTGCGGGTAAAATAAAAAATTTCACAGTGACGTGTCGCGTGTGTTGAGATCTTCACCTACTGCCATATTTTTGCGACTGATTTTGATTAATCTTTGTAAATTTTCGGCGCGTATTCGACTGCGATTTTCCTGTGCTATGGCTTTGGAAGTGGTTTCACA